AGGTGTATCGATCATCTGGTGGTAATGGTGTTAGATTGGATGGTGGTGCCGGGTATGCAGGTGCAGTGATTACACCTCATTACGATTCGTTGTTAGTCAAGTGTACGTGTTGGGGGAAAACTCATGAAATTGCTAGGCGTAAGATATTGCGAGCTTTGGTTGAGTTTAGAATCAGAGGTGTCAAAACAAATATCCCTTTCTTGCAACGACTATTAACTCACCCCATATTCATGGAGGGAAAAACATGGACAACCTTTATCGATGCTACACCTGACCTCTTTAAATTAGTCGGTAGTAAGAATAGAGCCCAAAAAATATTAAAATATTTAGGTGATGTGATTGTTAATGGAAGTAGTATTAAAGGACAAATGGTTAGCAAATTAAAAATTTTTTTGTTATTTTATTTGTGACAATTGCTAATATACACACACACATATATAGGGTGAACCGGCCTATAAGAAACCACTTCTTCTACCATCAATTCGATCATTGGCAGGACCAGAACCAGTTGATGTGAACCATTCACCAGATTATGGATGGAGGCACATATTATTAGAACAAGGTCCCGAAGCATTTGCTAAGGCTGTTCGTGATTATCAGGGTGTTTTGATTATGGATACAACATGGAGAGATGCTCATCAAAGTTTATTGGCTACCAGAGTCAGAACTATTGGTATATATATATATATATATTATTGATATGATGCGTAATTTTTGATGATTTATATATTAACATTAATGTTTATTTAAAAAAAAAGATCTTTTGAGTATAGCACCTCATACTGCACATGCACTTGCTAATGCTTACTCACTTGAAATGTGGGGCGGAGCAACATTTGATGTTGCCATGCGATTCTTATATGAAGATCCTTGGGATCGTTTAGTAAATTTTTTTTTTGAAATATGAAAAAAATTATAATTTTATATTTTATCAATTAATTATACTTATTAATTTTTTACTCTAAAAAAATGACAGGCAAAATTACGTGAAATTGTTCCAAATATTCCATTCCAAATGTTATTACGTGGTGCTAATGCAGTAGGCTACACATCATACCCAGACAATATAATTTATGAATTTTGTCAAAAGGCAAAAGACTATGGAATGGATATATTTCGTATTTTTGATTCGTTAAATTACATTGAGAATATGCGACTTGGCATAGATGCTGTCAAGAAAGCTGGTGGAGTTATAGAAGCAGCAATTTGTTATACAGGAGATGTTGCTAACCCTAATAAAACCAAATATGATTTGAATTATTATCTTGATTTTACAGAACAGTTGGTCAAAGAAGGAATACATATACTTGCTATAAAAGATATGGCTGGATTGTTGAAACCTGAGGCGGCCAAAATATTAGTTGGAGCCATAAGAAATAAATGGCCTAATCTTCCTATTCATGTCCATACTCATGACACTGCTGGAACTGGCGTTGCTAGCATGTTAGCTGCAGCAGCTGCTGGTGCTGATGTTATTGATTTGGCCATTGATAGTAGGTTTATTTGGTGTAATGTTTTTTAAAAAAAATATTATTTTAATAATAGTGCTTTTTTGCCTTTTTGTCCTCAATTAACAGGCATGTCAGGAGTTACATCACAACCATCAATGGGAGCTGTAGTGTCAGCGCTTGAAAATACAAACCTTGGTACAGGGATTAGATTAGAAGATGTGCATGCATTGAATGAATATTGGGAACAAGCACGTAAACTATATAGTTGTTTTGATGCAGGAGTGTTATCGGCAGATTCTTCAGTTTACGAGCATGAAATGCCAGGTGGACAATATACAAATTTGATGTTTCAAGCATCACAACTCGGACTTGGACAATTGTGGAAAGAAATTAAAATTGCATATACAGAAGCTAATAAATTATGTGGTGATATAGTCAAGGTCACACCAAGTTCAAAAGTTGTAGGAGATCTTGCACAGTTTATGGTTTCTAATAAATTAAGATATCCTGATGTAGGTTTTATGAAAAAGAGTGCTAGAGAAAAATAAATAAATAGATTGTAATTAATGCTTTTTTAACAATAATAATACTAATATTATTAAATTTGTATAGGTTATTGAGAATGCAAAAACATTATCATTTCCAGTTTCAGTAGTTGAATTCTTTCAAGGGTATCTCGGTCAACCATATGGAGGATTTCCTGAACCACTTCGTAGTGATGTGAGTATATACGAACATAGAGTATATTTGGATAATATGAATATACGTACATGTATTTAGTTAATTATTCAATCAAATTAATAGATAATTCGTGAAATGTCAAGAATTGAAGGCAGGCCAGGTGCTTCATTACCACCAATGGATTTAGTTGCATTGAAAAGCGAATTGGTTAGAAAATACGGCAATTCAATTCGAGAAGTGGATGTATTATCAGCAGCCATATATCCAAAAGTGTTTTCCGAGTATCGAGAACAACTTGAAAAATATGGGGATATTTCAGTGATCCCGACTAGATATTTTGTTTGCAAGCCGGATATTGGTGAAGAGCTTAGTATACATTTGGAGGAAGGTGTAACATTGATTATAAAATATTTGGCAGTTGGGCCACTTAGTCAGAATACCGGGAGACGAGAAGTTTTCTTTGAATTGAATGGTGAGGCTAGAGCTGTTGGTATTGAGGATACAAGTGCTGGTAATTATTATTTTTTGTGCGATACGATGATATTGAAACATTATACATTTTTTAATTTTTTTAAAATTAATATTTCTAAAATAATTAATACTTAAATTAGCTGTTGAACACGTTCAAAGAGAAAGGGCAAATCCTGGTAATCCCGGAGAAGTAGGAGCACCAATGTCAGGTGTAGTAGTTGAAATTAGAGCTAAAGGTACATACATATATATGATTTATATATAAATACACCAAACTTGTTAATTTTTATAAATATTAATAATAAATTTAAATTATTATTTATTCTATATAACAGTTGGAGCAGATATTAAAATAGGAGATCCAATAAGTGTTTTATCGGCTATGAAAATGGAAACGATAGTTACATCACCTGTTTCTGGTAAAGTTGAATATATTGCAGTTAAAGAAAATGATTCATTGAATGCAGGTGATTTAGTTGTTAGAATTGTAAAGAGTGAAGTAAATGAATGAGATTAAATAGTTGAATAAATGTGATTGTTTGCCAGGCAGAAGACTTTAATCAAAAATTAGTTTGTAAAATATAATTAATTATAACTTGTAATATTATGTTATTATCATTAATAAATAATTTGTAATTATGTTTATCCTCTCATAATAAAACATTTAAATTTTCAAATTGCCAAGAGCAAATGCAAATCCAAATCCAACCATTAAAATCAAAATTCCCTACATGAGAAGCACCTAAAAATCATATCTCTTCTACTTAGTTTTTAACATGATTGGCATTATTAGTATTAATGTTGTCGTCATTAGTATTATTATTAATATTGTTGGTATTATTGATGGTGATTTATAATATGTTGGCTCCTCATATTGCTGCGCCACGCATTCAAATTTCAAAAAAAAAAACAAGAATTCCATTATCTGTTTCATCGTTATTTGGTCCTTCAGAAACATAGATAACGAGAGAAACCAATACCATTTATAAGCAACCCAGCTCAGTCATGATGGCAATGTTGCATTTGTCGACCTTCAACAGAAATACCCACATTGTCTGCAAGTAGTGATTTTAAAATTCATTCATAGTCACAAAATGAGAATAATCATTACCAACATCTGTGCCATTTTTTATTACAATCATCCCGAGCTTTAAGAAGCAATAATCTGGCAGCAAGTTATCCATGATAACCAGCCTCTACTACACCTTTCTTGAGTGCTGATGAGAGCTGATTAATAAGGAAATCAATTAATTCCATTGCAAAAATGGTTATATATTAGTGTGTAATTTATCATCAATCTTGTATCTTTATTACTGAATTTTTTTTATATATTTTTAATAGATGATGGGATGGAAGGATAAGGATGGGCAAATTGGGAAGGGTTGAAACTGGACTGGTATGGATTAAGGATACCAGCTGCAACTTTTGATGATGGTTGCTACCATCTTTGCGTCATATAAAAACAATTGCAACCACTGGTTGCAACCACCTTTACAACCATTTTGTTTCCTTTTTTGGATTGCGACATGGAACACTAGTATGGATGAGAGGGCTCATCAATTAAGTATTTTTTTTTATCGTCGTTTTTCACATATATGGAACCATTTATATTCAATTACTTTTTTTTTTTTATTTTCATTAATTTTTTTTGTTAAGTAAAAAACAAATAAAGAATACCGTTTCGGCACTACATGTTTCAACCTTTGCATTTGAATGTAATTTGTAAAGTCAAGTCATTTCAGCATTACTACGTGTCTCAACCTTCAAATTCGAATGCGACATAAAAAGCAAATGGAATCCTGATACGCTTTCTAATGTTACAATGTAGAATCAATGAAAAAACAGGTAATATTGTTAACGTACATGCCGAGATTGAAGAATTACATGACACATTGATTTTCTTAAATAAAGAAAACCCAAAAATGACAGATCGTACTTTAGCATTAACAATCTCTTGGGCATGGAACGAATTCACTTTAAAATATAATAGTATTCTGATAAATCGGCTTTCCCTTGTCTGAATGAAGTATCCATAGCTTTCAAAAAATTTTTGGGAATGTCACGAGAAATGTAAAAAAAAATTCTGGTAAATCAACTTTTTTTAATTAAATGTCCATTAATGTTTCAATCCTTGCTCTACCTCTGAATTCACCTGCAAAACCTCAAATCCTCCATCCATTATGTTCTCTTTTTTAGCATAGATAGAACGCAAATTACCGATTGAAAAAACAATTAGAAATCATATTTCTAAAATCTACAACACTATTGCTATTACTACTACTACTACTATTACATGTAAAATTATAATGAAATGAAAAGAGAATAATGATAATTATGATACGAGCTATTAAATATGGAGTAGAGGAAAAATCAACAAAATCAACAGTTGACACTTGAGGCTTAAAATTCTTTACTGTTTTATTAACATTCTAATTGTGTCGCCACCAATTTCAGAGATACTTTTAAAAAAATAAAATAATAGATGGATCAATATTGATAATATTCTAGATACATGTTCTGGGAGCTCAACTTTTTTCAGAATTAAAATTCTCATCTGTATGATGAGTTATAACAGGCGATTCTCTTTATACATTGTATAATTCTCTACCGCGAGGCGTGCAAGGTAACCAACTACGAATGAGAAATGCGGAATTAATTAAATTGATTTTAATAATTGAATTTTAAGATGTTTATAACTTTGGATGCAAAATAGCTACAGAAAAAAAATTTTTTAACTCCTAGAAACATCGTCTATAACGTAACGGGCTGTTTTGTTTATGATTTTTCATAATAGAATTTGTAATTAAAATTACATTTGCAGCATGAAAATACATCAATGTTAATAAATATTTGTAAAATATGGCTCTGTTACGTTGTAGAGATATTTCAAATTATTTTTCAAACTATCTGTATGGTGGTGAGTCATAACAGTTTACGCAAAAGCGATTTTTCTTTTTTATTATTATTTGATCCTCCAATCAATTACTTGATTAGCAAATTATGCGGCAAGCATCGCCCTTGCCTTTCTAATTGTTTCGCCCCACACGAAAGATATAATCTCGTTAAAAAATGCCTCCGATAAGATTCTTTAATTTTATAATTAATATTATCAATCGGTTATTTCGAACAAATATTCGTTTGTTACCACCACCACCAGAACAACAGTCATCAGATTTTACTACACCTACACGAAATGTACCAGAGTCAAAGCTTACTTCAGAGTCTAGGTAATTAATTCTTTAGTTAAAAAAATTCATTAATCCCAATTTGTACTAATCAAAAATTTAAATTTTAGGTTTACAACAACAAAAATTGTTTCACCTTCTGATGCGGATACAAGAGGTTTTGTTTTTGGTGGTGTTGTTTTAGGTTGGATAGATCAAGCTGCAGGAACTTCAGCAAAAAAGCATGCAGTTTTTCCATGTGTAAATAGTTTATATATTTATATGTTAATTTATTAATTTATTTCATGAAACCAACTTACTATTATCATTTAGAATTAACAATATTGTTTCCGTTTCTTATGAAATTTAAGGTTACAAGAAGTGTTGATGCTGTTCATTTCATGCAACCAATTAAAGTTGGAGATTTTTTAATTATTCAAGCTAGTGTAAATAGATCATGGAATACTTCAATGGAGGTAAATTGAGAACGAGAGATTATCTTGTTTGTATTAAATAAAATTACCTACAAGTCATTTTTTTAGGTTGGTGTTCGTGTTGAAACTGAAAATCCAATAACTGGAAAAAGAAAATACTGCTGTCATGGTAATTTGTTCTTCATAGTTATTATAATAAATAATCAAACAAATATGCATATATTAATCCTGATATTAAAAAACATTAGCATATTTGACATTTGTGGCTTTAAATCCTGGTGATAAAACTTCTTTAGGAAGATTTAGATATAATAATTCTCCAGCAAAAGTTTCTCAGCTAGTTCCAAGTACAACAATTGAAATGGCACGATATGAACTTGCTGAAACCCGTCGGCAATCTCGTATATCACAATCTAAAAATATGGATGAAAAAGGTCGCATTGAAAAAACAAAATTGGCGGAATTAAGAGAACTTATGCGAGAATGGTCAAAGAATAAAAATACAGAAATGATGAGTGATGCTGAAATTCCACCATTATTACCAGATCTTGATAATGATAACGAAGCTAAAGGAAAAGACCCGGCGAAATTATTATTAAGACGAAGGTCAACACTTCAAGGTACCTTACCATTACAACCAGATGATAAACTTACATTAGAAAGTTTTGCTGAAATAGTAGAGACTGTAATGCCTCAAAATGCCAACACATTACAGGTGTGAAAAAGTTTCTCTTAAAAAAAATATATTTATTAGTTTTTTATTCATAACTTTATTAAAAAAATTCAAAGATCACATTTGGAGGTCAAATTATGAAATGGATGGAACAGTGTAGTATTGTTAGTGCCTCAAGACATTCCAGAAGATTTTTATTATTGGCAAGGTTTTATTAAAAAAAGTTTTATTTCGTATCAACCTAGATTTATATAATAATAATATATATACACGTCTCTTTTTTAGTATCGACTCTCTTCAATTCCTTAGACCAACATATGTAGGAGATTGTATGATTTTTTATTTTTTATTAATTTTCATTGTCATCATCATATAAAATTCATCTAATTATTATATTTATTTGTTTTCAAACAAATAATAAATACAGCTATAATAGTTAGATCACTAGTCACTTGTACATTTCATTCTAGTTTAGAGGTCTATGTTTGTGTTGAAGCTGGTAAGTATTTTGTTTTTGATAGATTTTATTATTGTTATTATTGTTAATATAAAAACGTTCAAAAGTTATTAATATTAGTTAATCTTTATTTTTTAATAAAACAAGAGAATTTATTTACAGGTGAAAGTTATTTCACTAATGATGGATTTTATACCATGGGTAAATATGACTGTCTATTGATTTTGAAAGATAACCAAATATTATATTGATTTATTATATTGATTATATTCAGTTGCTGTTGATTTTAACAACTCGCCTACTGTTATTCCAAGCATAATACCTGATCGAGAACAAGAAGTTGATATTCATAATGGTGCTGAGGCTAGAAGGAAACGAAGGCTTCAACAAAGAAGAGAATTAATACAAAAAGAAATGTCTACCCATCCTCAAGAATTTGTAAAGGTTGATAATAGTTATAATGATAATAATATCCAGAATGATGAATGACATTGTATAGAAATATATTTGTGAGTGGCATCTTCAAAAAGTTCTGAACGATTTCTAATAAAAATTATTCTTAAAACGTATTTCTATCTATTGAGTTGAAACCCTGTGAAATATTTATGAGCTCATAAAATGCACTTTTATTAGGTAAACACATAAATTTGTTAGATTAAATTTATTTCTCGTAATTCCAAATCCATTATTTTTTTACTTGTATAACTCTGGTATGTTGTGTAAGAAAACGGTCTTACTAATTAATTATTTATCTTTATGGATGTGTCCAATCTCTAAAATATTATACGATCTATTATCTTTGTTGTTAAAATAATCATAATAGATTGATCACATCAGTAATTATTTATGGTTTGGATTTTTCTTTTTCTTTTTTTTAAAAATAACATGAAAGAGTTGTTATACTAAAAAATCAGGTACACCATTATAATAATTCAGTTAAACCTTTTTATCAAATTTTTATTACTTACTGTGGGCATTTGATAAAAAATTAATCATCATCACATGATAAAATCAAATTTTACAATTTAATAATAAATTATCAATTAATCTTGTAGTACCAACATATAAAGCTCCCGATAACAATGCACCATTTCCTCCTTCATCCTCTCCAATAATGAAATCAATTTCCTCCAATGTTTCAGGATCAGCCAATGATAAATAGTCCAATTTAACTTCAAATTCCAAAGTCTGGTCTTCGTCTACCTTTTTTCTTGCACGTTCAATTAATTCATGAGCACCTTGCAAAAGTTTTTCACGATCACGTATACCTTTATCATAAAAAGATTTCTTGACAATCATTAATGCATCATACAATGTAGTTGCCACTTTGCGCATTTCTTTACTAAGATATTTATTTCTTGAACTCATTGCTAGCCCATCATTCTCTCTAACTGTCTCGCCAACATGCATCTCAATTGGAAAGTGGAGATCCTTCATCATACTTCTTATTACTACACATTGTTGTGCATCTTTTTGACCAAAGTATACATGATCTGGTTGTACTATATTAAACAATTTGGTAACTACTGTTGATACTCCACGAAAAAATGTTGGTCGTGTTTTGCCTTCAAGCTTTTTTTTGTTAATAAAACATTAAAATATATTATATAAATGTGTACTTTATTAAAGAAAACGATTAAGATTGAGATTAAAGATTATCTACCTGATGTGATTTACCCTTTACTTCAACAAATGTACCTTTTTGTTTATCAACTTCTAAAGGAGCACCTGATGGATAAATCTCTTCAACTTTTGGAATAAAAACTTTTAAATTATTGTTATTGTTATTGTTATTAATAATTGTTGTTGTTAATGATGATAATTTTTTAATATCATCTGACAATACTCGTGGATATTTGTGAAAATCTTCATTTGGTGCAAATTGTGTAGGATTCACAAAAATTGAAACAACAACTGCTTGGCAATTATCATTTGCTTGTTTGACTTATATATGATATATTATGATGTTATTATTATCATTATTATTATAATATTATAATTGTAATTATAATTATTTGTTATTAAATTTAATTAATACTACTATATCATAATAATAAATAATACTCACCTAAACTTAAGTGTCCTTCGTGTAGACATCCCATTGTTGGCACAAAGCCTAACAATTTTTTTTCTAAAATTAATTGACGTCTCCATTTTCTTAAAGAGGCTATATCTTCAAATATTTCTATATTATTACCATTAATAACATCATTATCATCTGACATCATTTTATCATTTTCTAAGGAAAATTAACAAAAAAATTTCACTTAAATTCGTTGAAACAAAAGTGGCAATGATCGTCAGAAAAAATGCTTCCACTGCTATACTTTTATCAAGACATGAGAGAGTGGGTCGAATTCGTACATTGATCCAGAACTAACTTTACATCACCATTTCCTTCTCAGAATGTTCTACATGTTGAATCTACTACATTTTCGTTCAACATCGTTACTTGGTGCGTGAATCTTCAACTATTACACAGTAAATCTCGGTTTAACGAATAGTTTGGGCAATTAATTTTTCCAAAAATCCGTTAAACCGAGAAATCCGCTATATCGAGAAGGTTTTTATTATGGAACCGTTCTTGAACTAAAACCATTTTTAATTAGTATCCGATAAATCGAGATTCGCTGTGTAATTAGTAAATATTTGTTAATGTATAGTTTTACCAGTGGTTATATCCGCGAATGGGGTACGTATTACTTTGCCGACAACACGCGGGGCGCCATTTTAGCATTTATTAGTTGTTTGATTACGTGGAGGTTAAATGTGACCCCCGAGTTGTCGGTAAAATGAATGTCTCCCCGCGAATGACATTAATATTCACCGATCATCTGATTAATCGAGTGTTGAAAATTCTTCAGTGATTAATATTAATAATTAATCAGGTGTTAAAAATTTCGATAATTGATGAATAATCAATGGTACAGAATATAATAAAAAAAATAATAAAATCCGCTGTTGAATTACTATTTTATCTCCACCTACTCCGAAATTAGACGAAGGCATTCAGCGGCAAGGCTCTGAACGAAACGAATCGAGCCGAATTTAGAGTGGTTCGAATCAAATCGGATTCCTTTTAATTAATAGGGTTTCTGTTCGAATAATTCAATTTTCATATTAATATGCCGCAATTAGTTGCAACTAGTCGCGGAGCCACCTTTTGTTCATGACATTATTAATGTTAAGAATTCTTTTTCTTTATGCGTTAACACTTTTTCAACAGAACAAATAATCTATTAATTATTACATAATAATAATATGTGCTCAATTACATAATGTAACTTAACGTTAAAAAAAAAATGTTTTTCATTTTTATTTATTGATTTCCAAAAATGGTATAATTAGAATGACCAGAATGTAAAAATGTATCATTATGATCATTATGACCATTATTTATCTTTTTTAGGTACTTGTTCATTCCTTTAAAAGAAATTCAATATAAACTTGTTACAATTTCAAAGTAAAGTATGTCAACTAACAAAGTTTTTGTTATAAAAGGAATACAACTTGTTTTTTATGTAAAACATGAAGTACCTGAAAAAAGCACAGTAGAGAGATTAATAAAGGTGTGAAAATTTTTCTTAATTATTTATATATTATTTATATTATTATATATAGTTAGCATAACAATGAATGCATTTACATCGATTTAAATCAAAAAACCCACAACTCGTTTATAATAAAAAAAAATAGGACAATGGAGGAAAAGTTGTATCAAGGCCAAATGATGCACGTTGGATTTTAGCGGATCCTTCAAAACCACAAAACAGAACACAGAGATTCAAAATATTATCATATAAAATCATTATTGATTCAATAAAAAAGAATAAATTTCAATCCATATCAATATATCAAATAGTTTGTACAGCGAAAAGGACCGGGTACTATATACATACATGTAACAGTTTTTTGTGACCTTTGGATCAAAGCTTCATAATAATATTATTATTTTAATGTTGTAGGCGAACAGAATTTACATTTCAAGATGATAAATTCATAGAAAATTTTTTACAAACTAAAAGTCATGATTTTCACGGAAAAGTAATTTATGAGGAACTCGAACATTTGGTAAATTATATAAACATAAATATAATTGTGTATTATTATTTTAAAATAACATTTTCATTACTAATATTATATGTATTTATTGTTCTTTTAGAATGACAGACATTCATGGGAATCGTGGAGAAAACGTGCTATAGAAAAAGTGATCCCAAGGTTGCAGAAGAAAGGAACTCTTTGATTTGAAAAAAATAAATCATCAGATTAATATATATTTATTTATTTATTTATTTTTTAAATTATTTATTAAATTATTTATTATTAACAATGTTTTTTTAAAAATCTTCAAGATACATCATCGTTAATCATACATTTTATCAAGTATGATATAACAAATAACAATTTTTTTATTTAATATAAAACAAATATTTGGATTCCTTAATGTGAAAATCATTGTTTCTTGGAAAGTCAACGGGTGGACATTCTTCCCCAGTCCAATATCTTAATATTACAATCATCAAACCTGATTCTTTTACATGGCTATATATGTTTGACTTTGTAATAACCCTCTTGATCAACATGGTAAAAAATGCACCATTAAACCACCATTATTTGGAGAAACACAAAAAAAAACAATCAATCAATGACTTGGGGTGAATTGTGATTACCACACCTGGTTTATTTATATAAAAACTTTCATTTGTCCGAATTTCTCTGCTTTTCCACTTTCAAAAGATTCGTCACTGGTTCCTTCGTTCAAATCGACTAAATATATAAATTAAATAAATGTGTGTGTGTGTGTGTGTGTGTGTGTGTGTGTGTGTGTGTGTGTGTGTGTGTGTGTGTGTGTGTGTGTGTGGGTTTGCTAAATCGAACTTCGAGGCTTATAGAACATTTTAGAGAAATTGAGTAAATTAAAAGGCAAATTAACTAAGCTCGATTTTAACCATTTAAAGGATGTGTGGGTAAAAAATAATTCCAATCTGATAACATTCGCATAAAACAAAAAACAACAACCAATAGACGAAAAAACATTATTTTTTTATTTAAATATATATATATAATAAAATGCTTGTTGATTATTAAATAAAAAAAAATTACTTCATATTTACATGCTATCTAAGCCACCCCTAAGTCACACATACTCTCCCTCATTTTATTCTATCTAGGTTACTATTAATAATTTTTATGAAATTTTTAGCATATGCTAAATCTTTGAGTTTAATTAAATAACAACTCTTAACATTTAACCTTTTTAATGTTTCACCAACACCATTTTTCCTTTTTTTTTCAATATAATCAATAATAATTTGCAAGTGTGCATTAGAAAAATCTTTACAATTAGCAAATCCCAAGTATTTCAAATCGCTTTTACAATTGGCTAGAAATTGTTTTAAACAATCGGGTGAAAATAATAAAACACCTTGAAATTTAAATGTTTTTATTGTACTAGGTAAAAATTTGCCAATTTCTGGTAGAAATTCATTGAACAAACCATGGTTGGTGGTTGTTGTATTTGCTGTTGTTATTGGTTTATCAATAATCCAAACATGCCTTGACAAACGTCCATTTGTACGTAATTTTTTTAGATCGTTAATGGTGATCTTTTCTAAATTCTTACTTGCTTTAAGAAATTCAATCAAATCCATCATTTGTTGTTGTTGTTCCAAGTTGATTGTTCCAGAAAAACATTTTAAATTTTGACAATAATTTGTTAAAAGTGTCAAATAATTTGAACAATTTGAAACTGTTTGTTCACCTAAAAACTTTAAATTTATTAAATTTTTAGTAGATTTGGAGAAAATGATTTCGGTTAATTCTGTGGGTATCAAACAATTATTTATGATTAAAGTATTTAATTTACTAAATGAACTGCTACTATTATTATTATCATAATTATAGTAGCCACTTCCACCAGTAATATTTCCGAAATTTATACATCTCTCAAATTTCAAATATTTTAATTCCTTCAAGTGAATAAATAATTTAAATGGGAATTCATTTTGAAAGTCGACGTTTTCCAATGTAAGAGTTGTCAGTGATTCAAGTTGGGTATTGATTAATGACTGAAAAATGTTCTTGAATCCAAGCGGTTTTGATCTACTGCATTTTATCAACAGATTTTCCAATGATCTTTGCGACTCGATCAACTTGCCTAAATCTTGAAATGTTGTGGCAAAGTAATTTGTGTTGGTGAGGATGAATTGAATTTCTTTGAGATTGCAAAGAATTTGTGAAGCGGTTGCTAACAATCCATTAACGTATTCGCCATGAGTTATTAATGTTTTTATTTTTTTAAGATTTGTTTTGGCATTTGGATACAAAAATATATTTAACTCTTCCTCGGTTGATGGAGACAAATTTTGTTGTTTCATATAATCATTATTCATATCGAGGATTATTGTGTGAATGTTTAAACTGTGATTTATAAAATACTCATAAAGTGATCTTGCCAGTTTGAATGAAATTTCATTTTCAATCTCCGATTCAGATTCAGATTGGTTCTCAATTGGATATTTAATATTTTCCTTGACCCAGTATCTCGAATCAGTTTCAATCCTTGATAAATCAAAGATTTGTAAATATTGAAGATAATTATAAAAAGGTTTATTACGACTATTGCCGTGGCTGTGGGCGAGATCATTGAAAGGTAATAGTTTTATGGATTTTTTATAAGTTAAAGGAGGCAGGAATGGTATTATTGAGTTTATGCAGGATTCTTTAAAAATTATTCTCGATGGATAGAAGGGATGTCTCCATAACTTGGGTATAACCAAGACATACCATTGTTTGTTAACCGTTCCACAATTACTAAGACTCCCAAGCGATCCATCTTTATACAAGATTTCAAATATTTCATCTAAACATAATATTGGAAAATTATTTAACGACATTTTTGTTTATTAATATTTTGAGGGGAAAATTTTATTTAATTGAAAAAAAAAATTTTAAAAACTAAAATTAAAAAAAAAAAAGTATTTATATTTATATATATGTACACAATCAATCATTTCCTCATCATAATCAATCTTCGTGTTCATTCTTCCTCCATTCATCATATATTATTTATTTATTTATTAATCGGTAAAGGTTTTATATATTATATATTTATATATATACATATACATCCAAATTAATTGTTGTCGTGAGAGTTAACAAGTAAATCTTTGACTAAAAAATAAATCACACGATTTGAATACGGTATGATATAATAACAATATATGTAAATAAAGACAATAGATAACCTTTTGCTCCTTTGCAACTAACTGCATATGACTCCACAAAAGATTAACAAAGATTAGATTATCAGATCACTCCACTTTATTCTACAAATTTAATTATTAATTTCTCACGGAATGATCTAATTTCGGCCAAAATATTTGCTTTATCTTTATATGGTAGATGATCTTGATAATTATGTCTAGCCAAATTCATTTTGCATTCCCCCCATTCCATATATAAGGGAATAATTTTTGATTGTTAATTTCATTCTCCATTTTCATATTTACTTTCTAACCATAATTAGAGTTTTTGTTTTTGGCTTATAATGAATGTATGAATTCAGGGAGTGATTGGAGGGTGAGAAAATGGAGGAAGGAAGGAAAGATTGGAAAGAAAGACATTCCTCTATTATTGCTATTATCAATATATCACATTTTTGATTGTCACAAACATACTATTGCATTATCTTTATCTTTTTATATCATTTACTGCATCGATGCGTGAGAATATTTTTTTCTTTGATAATTCACTGATAAGAGTTTTTGCTAGTTGTATGGATGCTCATCCGAACGCTCTATTTTTTTGGTACATTGATTGGATGAATCCAAATCATTTTGTTTGAATTAATTCATTGTAATCAATATCTATAAATTTTTCACTAAAAAATTGTACGACTGTGGTAGCCCGCATAGCTTTCCCATTCCAGCCAGAAGAATAATATTAGTCAATCCTTGATCAGCCCACAGCCGATAAATTATTTACTGTAGTGAATGCGGACAAATGGCAATTTTATCTCAAAAGGTAAGACTCGATCGAACTGAGCATTAACAGATATTTTTCATGAAGAATGTTACCATTATGAAGATATTGATGAATAGTTTTTCATTCACCTAATACCAGACGCAGATTGTAATGAATAGGTAGATATGGAGATATAATACTGTTAATATTGTTATAATTCACGTGAAAATTATAGTAATCATATAGTAATAGAGATAGAAACCGATATGATTTTTTTCTATTAATATTAACATATACACTGTTTGTTGGGTTTGTTCCATATTCTTTGCATAATAAAACCACTGGATCGTTTTCATGTATTATATTTTTTCTTATTTTTTCTTAAAGGGTTGAAAAATGGTGATATTATCATCACGGAAACATGCCTTAATTTTTTCAAGAATAAATAATAATAGAGAACGATAATAGCATTCATTCGTTTTACTATTTACTGTAAAAAAAAAAAAAAAAAAGGAATAATCTTTATATAAATAATATTCAAAAGAAAAATATATATGCATCTTTTGGAGATAATATTGATACATGCCCTAGAACGAGCTATCATTTTTCTTTTACGTTTGAGACTTCTAGTTTTTTTCCTTCTCATTTTTTAAAAATTTTTTATACCTGTTGCACAAATTATGGTTTGTCAATTTTTATCATTATAAATTAAAAAAATTTATTAAAAAAAAAAAAAAAGAAGATACTTGATATAATAAATATGGCGGAAAACAAACCTTCAACACAAAACCGTCAATTTAAAGATAAAGATAAGCCCGTAGAAGTTCGACTTAGTAATATCATTGCTGCGAAAGGTATATAGTATAATCATGGTTTGATCAGTAATAGTGACACGCGTAGTTGGCATTTAATTATAAACATGTACATACACTCAATCAATATGATTATTAGCTGTGGGCGATGCTGTAAGAACTTCTCTTGGTCCTAAAGGCATGGACAAGATGGTATTTAAGAAGAAAAATAAAATAAAATAAAATAATAACTTGAAAAAGTAACTATTTAGCACAAATTTTATTATTCATTAAAATTAAAAAGTTGTTTTAAAATCTTTTCGTTAGATACAAACAGGTAGTGGAGAAGTTGTTATAACTAATGATGGGGCAACTATTTTGAAACACATGGCAGTTTTACACCCTGCAGCAAAGATGGTAAGCATAATTGATTAATTGAATGATTGATTATTCAAATTATAATTTTTAAAAACAAATCCAGAAAGAAAACATGTATTTATTTTTTCATTATTATTTATTAGCTTGTTGATTTGGCTGCAGCACAGGATGTTGAAGCTGGTGATGGTACTACGTCTGTTGTTGTGATCGCTGGAGCTCTTTTGGGCGCGGCCGAGAAAATGCTCTCTAAAGGTATTTATATAGCATTGATAACCTATAGTACACACACATCCTATATTAAATATTACTTATTGCTTTAATATTTTTTTAAAAATTTTTAGGAATACATCCAACAACTATTGCTGAAGCCTTTCAACGTGCTGCGACAAAATCATCCGAATTCCTGACAGAAATGTCAACTCAAATTGATTTATCTGATCGAAATACTTTATTAAGAGCTGCAAGCACATCATTAAATTCAAAGGTATAAAACAATTGCAACAGCTAATAATATAATATGTTAAATAATTTGGCCCGTTAACAAATAAATATATTTTATTAATTGAAATAACATACTATACTTTTATATACATAGATTGTCTCTCAATACTCAAGTCTTCTAGCACCTATTGCTGTAGATGCTGTATTACGTGTTATTGACAATAAAACTGCAACAAATGTCGATTTAAAAGATATCCGCATAGTTAAAAAAGTCGGTGGAACAATTGATGATACAGAGTTGGTTGATGGACTTGTTTTGACTCAAAATGTTGTTAAAACTTCAGGTGGCCCTGCACGTGTGGAAAAGGCAAAAATTGGTCTTATTCAGTTCCAATTGTCACCACCAAAACCAGACGTAGGGATATTATTATTATTATTATTATTTTAAAGGAGTTAAACCAATAGATGATAATATTAACATTATATATATATATATATTTTAAAATTATGACTAGATGGAAAATCAAATAGTAGTAAATGATTATAGACTTATGGACAAGATTTTAAAAGAAGAACGCCAATATCTTCTTAATATGTGTAAAAAAATTAAAAAAACAAACTGCAACGTTTTGTTGATACAAAAATCAATTTTACGTGATGCAGTGAATGACTTGTCTTTACATTTTCTATCAAAATTAAAAATATTGGTTGTAAAGGATATAGAAAGAGAAGAAATTGAATTTATTTGTAAAAGCACCGGGTGTAAACCAATTGCAGATATCGAATCATTTTCTGAGGATAAATTGGGTTATGCAGAATTGGTAGATGAGGTTCAAGCTTCTGGCGCTAAAGTCGTTAAGATTACAGGAGTTAAACATAATGGAAAAACTGTATCAATTTTAAGTCGTGGAGCTAATTCACTTGTGTTAGAAGAGGCTGAACGTTCTTTACATGACGCACTTTGTGTTATTCGTTGCTTAGTTAAGAAAAAGTAAGAGAATATATAATATAATATAATATCAGAAGAATGCGTATGATATAACATAGCTAATAACAAAATTTAAATTTTTTTACATCTTGCAGAGCTCTTATTGCTGGTGGAGGTGCTCCTGAAATCGAAGTTTCTCAACGTTTATCTGATCATGCTAAATCGCTTAAAGGAATGGAAGCACATTGTTTTGAAGCATTTGCAAATGCGCTTGAAGTTATTCCATTAACTTTAGCTGAAAATGCAGGTTTGAATCCTATTAATATAGTCACTGAGTTAAGAAATAGACATGCCTTGGGCGAAAAAACGGCTGGCATTAACGTGAGAAAGGTAATTTGAATGCTTGTTTTATATAACCAAAAAAAAAATTTTTTTTTTAAAAAAAAGGTAATAATAATAATAATAATAATAATAATAATAATAATATGAATAATAATAATATGAATAATAAATAGGGTTCAATTACAAATATTCTTGAAGAAAATGTTATACAGCCATTACTTGTATCTACAAGTGCTATAGAGTTGGCTGCGGAAACTGTTAAAATGATATTAAAGATTGATGATTTGGTAAGATTATTATTATTATTATTATTATATGACATGATTGAAATAATTTAACTTGTTTATTTTTTTATATTCAAATAGGTTCAAACTCGCTAAGAGTATATATATATATATATATTGATTATTTAAAATTATATCATATTTTTGAGAAAGTAAATTACAATGAAAATAAGATGATAACACAACATATTCATTCATAATATACAAAATAAAATCTTAAATTTCCAAGATTGACTTGTATTATGAAAAATCTTTCATATGATATTAACAACTTTTTTACACTCCCATAAAAATCTTAATTAAATTTACGTTCAAGAAAATGATCATCAAAATTTTTAAAAACCATCACAGCCTGATTACTTGCATTTTTTTTGCTTCATTTGTTTCTCTTTACATTGACCCTATAATTAATTAATGAAATAATATTTTTTTTTTAAGAATTGCCTCAAAAATATAGATAACATATAAAAAATACACATTTATTCCAAGTGGCTTTAAATGAAGTTTTTAGGGATTAGATAACAGTCAACAAACAATTCATAATGAACCAACAGCACCTTTAAAAACTTCTCTTTAAAGAACATGTCGTGTAACGAGAAAAGGTATATCTGTGATGATTTAACTAATCGTCATCATCATTGTTTTAATTATGGTTCTTTTAATTCCACCTGAACAATTTGGAATTGTAGAAAAGGGAATATATCGTTCTGATATGTTGCATCCCTCACACTTTCCATTTATTAAATCATTAAATATAAAAATCATTCTCGTGCTGTCTCCAGAAGTTCCCGCACGCTCAATAATGGGTTTTATAGAAGAAAATAAAATAAAATTAATTCATTTAGGCACAAGAGTTTGGAAACCAATTCTTAGTTGGAGACCGGTCAGCGAAGAATTAATTAAAGATGGATTGGAATTAATTCTAGATGTTAAAAATTACCCAATACTTGTCCTTTGCACGTAAATATTAAATGTATATAATCTATGTATTGCAACATGATAGATTACATCGATTAAAAGACTATTTTCACTTTTGTGTAAGTTCAGGAATTCATGAAACAGGGACTTTTATTGGATGTTTGCGTAAATTACAAAACTGGAATTTTAATTCTATTATTATTGAGGTAAAATATAACAACAACAATATATATTTTAAGAAATTAGTTAATATTATTAATTATTTTTATACATAATTATTTATAGTATAGAAGTTATGCAGGAAATAAATCTCGTTATGTGAATGAACAATTTATAGAATTATTTGATATGGATCTCATTACTTTACCAAAAGACTTACCTTCATGGTTTATAGAGCAAAAAAAATTATGGGTAAATAAAAAAATTTTATTTGTTTAAAAAAATGATTACAATTATAATAGTATTAATTAATATTAAACAGGAAGAAGAAGAAGAAGAATTAAATAAGCAATATAATAAGAAAGTTTAAAATTACAAATAATAAATACATATATAGTTAAAGAACATAAGTATCTATGGTAATTATGAATTTACAAATTGGACAATTAATAACACTTCTTCTGTTGCTTTTCGCCTGCCTCGAAATTGTTACGATATAATAAGCTAAAGGTATAAATAGAAATTCTATATATAAGAAAAAACCGTCAATCAAAAATAAATTTTTATTATTGCTATTATTATGTATGCATGTGTATATATATGTATGTCTGTGCGTATGTAGATAGCAAGCGTTACGGAATTATGGCACCTTATTGGTTAACGTTAAAGACCATCATATGACAATTCCAGCCAGGTTTTATTCTCTGTTTATATAAATTTCAGGTACAACAATTACAATTATTATTATATAGTGTTATTATTATTATTTATTAGTTATTATTACTAGCGTTAGTATCAACAGAATTATTTATTTTCTCACAAAACTTAAAGACGTTGGGTATCAAGTTGTGTAACGCCTGAATTGAATGAATATTTGTACTATGCAATCAAGTGATTGTCATTAATATGAATTCCATAACCACAATGTCGTTGTGTCAAAAGGTAATTGGACAGGTATATAATGATAATCCTATTCTATATGAAAAAGAAAATCGACCTTTGATTTCGAAAGGACCTGATCAAGAATGGAGATTTTTTTGTACTTGTCGAACAAGCAACTTAATCCTGGAGGTTAATATTTGAAGGTTGATTAATGTTTTGAAGGAATCATCAAAATTAATTAAAAATTCATCATATTAATAATATTAATTAGTAGGTGGTATCTTTAAGTACATGGTAAACAATTACATCAAGCCTTTTATATATGTTACAGAAGCGACGTCAGATCTGGAATATCTGAATTCGCTAACCCATATATTTAAATCACTTACCTTATTTCTGAAAAAATAATTTTTCCGTAATTTTAATTTAAACATTTTATGCGTTTAGCATGTTAAAGTAAATTAACAACCCTTTATCTCCATTATCATCACAACTAACCATTGTTATTATTTATAACTCATATTCCGATTTCCTAGTCTGAATACTGTGACCATCCATCCATATGATTGGCTTCTTAATATTAATATTAAATATGATAACAATGATATCATCAGCCGGATCGTCATTTATTATTGCAGTGTAACAGAGTTGATTTATTCCACCGTTACATAATGACGTTGTTTAGACTTTGAATTCTTGTTATCCGTCACTCACCATTACTATTAAATGAAAAAGAAAATCAAATTTGGTAGTGGTGGTGATATGATTTCTCATATATGTACAAGGCTATAAAAGATAAAATTTATTAATAATTTTAAAAACCTGCTTTAATCCTCGTTTGGTACACGAAACTTTATTTTTTTGACATGTTCGTCGTCGTCACCTGCAATTGTTTTTTTTTTTATATAAAATCCATTAATCCATTATTTGATTTTTCATTTATTTTCTAAAAAAAAAAATTTTAGTTAATTAAATTAATTTATCTGTAAGATTAAAAAATTATCTAAATATATAATTAAAAAAAATGACTTCAATTCCAATTCCACCACCAACCACAAGGAAGTTAACGATTCAGACTGCCAACAATAAAAATAATATAAAAACAAAGTCATCTCCTCCTCTTGCGAGTAGCATCAAGTTGATTGATTATACAGAATTTGAAGATGTAATTACATTGAACACTGAATGCTATGGTTTAATTAAAGAAGCATATTGGAGAAAAGAAGAAATATACGTTCATCTAAAATTTATAAATGATTTAGAACTGGAGGATCAATTGAGGAAAATCGGCGACAAGGTAGTTAGCTAGTTAGTTATACATAATGCTTGTAATAAATACACGATAATTACTAAAGGTTGAATTTTATACACAATACTTTTTACATACATGTATTTTTATACAGAGTAACCAAATTATACAACAATCTAGGCACCCAAATATTATTCAATTTTATGGAGTTAGTCAAGGTAATAATAGTAAAGAAAAAGCATTTTTGAAAATTTATATTAATAAAAAATAAATGAATGCAAGCCACAATCCCAATCAGGATTATAATCATTGTTGTTATTGTTTTTACCATCCATGAAACCAGACCAAAATAAAAACAATTATTTCCTAGTATTGCAAAAGACTAATAATGGAAACTTGAGAGAATACTTGATCAATAATCAGGAAAATTTAAAATGGATTGATAAATTAAGATTGGCAACAGATATCGCAGCCGGATTAAACTTTCTACACGTTAATGAGATATTTCATGGAGAATTAGTTAGTATTAGTACTATTATTATTGTTGTAATTGGACTGATCGATGACGATTAACGTAAATATCAATATTCGTATTTTAAATATAGTATCCTCAACATATATTTATAAATAATTCAAGAGCTCTTATACACAATCCAAATCTTTTTTCATTGGACGATGATAATGACATTATATCTACAACAACACCGTCATTCAAGAATTCGGTGCCGGGTGTAATCCCATACATAGATCCACAAATGTTGGGTAAAAAATTCAAAATTCGCACTCACAATCTTCAATATCTATGGGAGCATCAGCAACATTTAAAAGACGATGACGACGACAACGACGATGACAACGACGATGATGACGACGACGACGACAACAATGATGACGATTATTCAAACTACCTTAAATCAGATATTTACAGTTTGGGAGTGATTTTATGGGAAATATCAACTAATAAAATACCTTTTAATGATTCAAAAAATCAAGTAATATTAACAGTTTCAATAATGCTCAGAAACAAAAGAGAAGTACCTGCTGAAGGTGTGCCTGAATGCTATGTCGGTTTATATCAAAATTGTTGGGATGATGACCCTAAAAATAGACCATATATAAATTACGTTTATGATGAATTATCGAAATTTCTGGGAGATGAGTTGGATAAAAGATTTATGGAAGATGTTGTAGATGAAAAAGGTTTTTTGATAGTTAGATAAAATTATTATAATATTATGGATTTTTTTTTTTTTTAAATAAATAACAGTCGTGTATAATATTTTTTTTGAAATTAGATGGGAATATAGAGAATACTGATGATCTAACAATAGTAAGTATAGTGGAAATACAAATAGTGCACATCTAGTTGATTAATTGATTAATTGATTAATTGATTATTGATTGATTTGTAGATTCCGTCATCTTCATCTTCATATTCACAATTAAAATTAGAACACCCAGAAATTATTTTTATGGATCATTCAATAGAGCCTTCAAACTTACAAACTGAATATGATCTAAAATTAAAACCAAGGTTAAATTATATTTAATTTTAATAATGATTTAATAATTTGATTATTATTATTAATTTGGTTATTTGTCCAATTTTTTTTAATAGTGATTCAAAAATTGTTTACACCGAATTCCGAAACCGTAGGAAAAGAAAGTCGTTAAATAATTTTATCAGATCAATTTTCAGAAAAAAAACTTTCAGAAGTAAAAACCCAGACAAATATATATATATAAATTTTTAATATACTAATATATTAAGAATATTATTTTCATGCTGCAATTTGTATATTTGTATAACGTGTATTATAAATGGACATTAAAAACTACAACAAACCAAATAAAAATATATTGTTTATTGTTTATTGTTTATATTAACACACTTTCTCTCATTTGGTGAAAAAAAGGATTTCCTTCTGCAGTTGATTACGGTCAATTAACAAGTGGCAAAATTAATTACCACGCACATCGGATCTTTTCAATATTGTAAGTGTGTTGTTCAGCATATATATTGACTGGTGTTAATGGTTTGTGTAGGTGTATAGGCTCTTGATAAGAGTGGTAAAGTGGAATGAGAAGTTGAGAGCAATCTTGATGTGTTTGATTTAATCGGGGATGATAATACTTTTGCGGTGAAGAAGAAGATTAAAGAATGCAGTGCTAGAAGTAGATGTGGTGGTGATGGTTTTACTAATACATTTTATTAAACATTTATTGCAAATATATTTGTTTTCTTCCTACACCCGAAGATTACTATTCCCAAGTGCAATTACCAGCTCTTTGAAGAGATTACTATGCAAATTCTCGATTCTTGCGAATGAATCTTAATGAAGGTCAACTTGAAAATTATCATGTCTCTTTCGGTTCACAGTGAAATCTATATGTAACTTCTTAAAGCCATCCGTTACCCGACTTTTTCAGTTGAAACCTAAAACCGCGATAAAAAATATTATTTAAAAGAAAAAGTCGCACAAGTTTGCAATTGGTGCCGTGCCCACAGGAACTCGGTTGGAAGAATTGGTAGTTACCAGGCATGTTATGCAAGCATCATGTTGACGTTTCCTTTAACTATTCTTTATTCAGTTAACCTTTACATTGTCTAATGGCGACATTTGTGGTCCCTATTGCTCTGCTGTTCTTAAGACTAGGTTTCTGAATGTTATCGAATATAAGGATAGCTTACATTTATGTGAAATACTCGATCAGAAGAAATAAAAAAAAATCATTTCTGCCAAATCGTATTATTGAACTACGTTCATTAAGTGATTCACTCCAGCACCTCCATAAGGAAATGTTAGTATGGATGGATGGAGGAATTGAGGTAAGCGGACAGTGGTGATAGGTGTTTGGTTGTTATCTTGTTTCCTTATAGATCATTCTGCTTATTTACTATTGTTATAATTACGCTTATCTAGAAGGAGTATCAATTGATACTTTTTAACATATGATGAGAATCTAGACATGACACCAATAACAATATCATTTGGCAAGAGCTTGTAAACCCTATCCAAGCCTTCATAAGTTCTTCTTGGATTTGCAAGACATCCTTTGATGATGAATAACTCTCTGCAGGATCATCATGGTAATTTATTAACATCATCATTATTTTTCACTTGAATTGAGGGTTAGTTATACTTGTACTTTAAATAAAATTTTATTGTGTAAAAAATTATAATAGTAATAAAAAGAAAAAATTCTAGCAAAATAAAAAAGTTAAAAAATAGAGCATAATATAATGTATAATATATAAAACATAATATAAAACATAATTTAATCATAAAGCGAATATACATATTTACAAATTTTAAAGTAATAATCTATTAATAAAAATATATAAAAAAATCAAAAGAACTTCTAAAATAACAATGGCAACACATTATCATCCAAATCATCGCCAACCCAATCACTACTAAGCTCCATAATTCTAGCTTCAATTTGACTTTGCTCAATTACTTGTTGCACCATTGAATCATATAACCAATCAAGAACCGATGCTTCTTTAATTGATTCTACCATTATGTTATTATTTAATAGCTCTTCTTCTTCTTCTACCATCACTTGTTGTTCATTATTAATCGTTTGTTGAACATGAATACCATCATTATCATCCTTTTCATTTTTTAAAGGAGGAAGAAGTTCAGGTAAAGCAACAGGATTTCGAAATAGAGCAGAAATCATTTGTTGTTTAGGTGTAGTAACAATTGCTTCTAAAAACAAAGAAGTGATTTGTTGTACAAATGTAGAAACCAGTACACAAGCAAACCAAAACTTTTGGTTTTTGTCATTGTTATTATTGTCGTTGTTGTGGTTGTTGTTGTTATTAGCAGTATCAAATTCGTCAATGTCTCTTAAAATTGATAAAATATTTGGATAGTTACCGTAAAGATTTGAATATGAAAAACCCACTTTTTCTTCAAACAAATGTTTATTGAAATTAAATTCAGGAACAAATGTGGTTTGTACTCTGACACGAGAATCTTGCCAAATTTTTTGTTTTGTCGTATTTGATGATGAAGATGAAGATGTGGGAGATGCGTCTTTATTAACATTTGGAATTACCAAGTAACGAGAAGTTGGTGAAGCTGGTTGATGAGTATTTGTAATTGATGGTGATGATTTACTTTTTTGTAAGTTGCCGTTACCATTGTTAATGTTGTTGATATTTGTAAATTTAGGCGCTGTTACATTCATGTTATTGAAATCTGCTGATGATAATGTAGTAGGATTATGTGGAGGTGAAAGTGGTGATGTTATATACGATTTATTGGATTGATTAGATTTACGCAAGTCTTCTACTTCTTGTTTCAATTGTGTATTCTCTTCTTGTAAATGTAACAGAGCTTGTTTAAGAATGTTTATTTCCTCTTGTTGTTGTTCTTTTAATGATGCAAGACTTTGAATGTATTCTATATATATATACATATGTATTGAAGGTTAGTAATTTCATAATTTAATGTTATTTTTTGGATAATAATAATAATACCTTTTCTTCTAACACGAAAATTTCTAGCAGAAATCTTATTGCGTAATTGTCGACGTTCTTTTGATGACAATTTTTTAATATCTAATTTATCGTCGTCATTGATTTGGGTTTGACTATCATTGCTAGCGCTTTTTGATGGTGTATTTGGTGTAGTGTTTGTGGCAGATTGTGAAGTAGCTTTGTGTGATGCACCAGCGTTAATACTATCATCTTCATTATTAGGTGGAGCGGTAGCAGTTATTGTTGTCGTCGTATTAGATAATTTTCTATCTGACACATCTTCTTGTTTAATTGCTTGCAATTTTGATAATAATTCTGCCAATTGTGCATTCAAAATTGAAACTGAAGTCTCAACTGAAGTATTAGAAGTTATTGGTTGAGGTTGAGTTAGTAAGTTTATGTTGTCGATGGTTGGTACAGAAGTAACTTGATCATTCATAACAAGAGGATTTGAAATCAAATTATAGTCTTCTGGGATAAGAGAAGGTTGATAGACCATGGAGGAAGAAGCTTCATTTGATTCGTCTTTTACAAGTTTGCCTTCAAAAAAATATTGGAAAAGATCAGAAGTGGACATGTCGCCGTTCTTGTTGTTGGTTTCATCATCTTCCTGCGCTGTATTATTTCTCAAGAAATCCATATCAATATAAGTTTCAAAAGCGTCATCTAGGTTTCCGTAGTTATTAATATTACCATTAGAAGCCATTGTGATTTTTTTCTCAACAGTCTTTATTATTAACTTGTAAGAAAAATTTTTGTTTGTTGAATTATTAAAATAATGGTGTTCAAAAAAAATGTTATTGTTGGGGAAAAAAAAAGAGAGAGGGCTTGGAAATTATGAATCAAATTAAGATTAATAATTTTTGTATTACATTTTTTAATTGTTACACAAAAATTAATTTCCTATGGTGCATACCATTTATAGATACCAAATGCTGCGTCCGCGCGCCTAAATAATCCCCCAAAATAGCAATGATATTTTTGGTGTCACAATATTATGAAATCACATGACTCGATCAGGTGCACCAAAATTAAAAACAACATGCTAGAAACAAAGATACGCGATAGATAAATTAGGAAGTCAAGGGTTGTTTCGCATATATATATATATATATGGGAAGCCAGTATGGCAAGTGTAGCGTAAATTAAATTTGATGTAAATACTACTACATACAATTAGAGATGGGCAAATGTGCGTATAGTTGAACGCTATATGATACTCTACGTATAATTAATTATATTGAATGAATTAAATATCATAAAAATCAAATTGCTTTCACTTTTATTTGATCCTTCAATAAAATTTCATGTTTCATCAGCTTCTTCAATGACATTTTCATCAATTTCTCAATTACGTTGTAATTTATCTGTATACTAGTATTTGAAGTATCAAAATGTTCTCCAAAATAATTTCTTTTAGTTTTGAATTGTGGCATTTGAACAAAGGCGTAAATGGTTTTCACATCTAGATACTGGACTAGCATATTGATATTTTGGGCTTTTGCAATATAGACATTCAAAACGTAATTGCTTATAACCATTAACATCACCAATATGTTTAAAATATTGCCAAATTGCACTTTGGCAAGTCATGATAAGTATGTAATGTATTAATTTTGTGTAATATTGCATCATATAACCTAAACAGGGATTGATTTACATTTATTATTAGAACTATACGTATGCACTTACGTAATGGTACTGATCTGCCCACAATAAATAAAATCATTAAAGTTGAACGACGCTTCTAGTTTGTTATGGTCACATAATATATAGGAAAATTCTTAAATAGGAAGAATCACGGTAAATCTCCTTCATCTAAAACATTTAACAAAAACACTTATCTTCACCACTGAATTTATCTGTGATTAGACCAAATAAACAAGAAATACCTATTGAAACTACATCAAGCAATTATTTGATGAAAAGACTAGATTAAATCGTGATTTTTCATTTAGTGAAATTGCCATTGGAATTTGTGAATTGTTTGAAAGAAAAGGGGGTTGTTGCCTCTACTATTAAACCATCATCACAACCCACACAAACAGCAAATTATCCACATGCAAGAACAAATCTCAAGTCCAGCAGATCATCTTATTCCGAAGACTTGTAATAATTAATAAATATGCTTTAATGAACATAATTTAACTATACGAAAACTCTCTGAAGATAAAGAAACAATGGATATGAAAATGAATGCAGAGGAAAATCATCAACAATGACAAAACCAGTTGTAAAGTAGAACCATTGAATTGGAAAGAATTGTCTATGAATTGACAAGGAAAGTAAAAGTAATGAAATAGCAATGAAATGGAAAGTAAAAATAAATCGAGCTGCGCAATCAAAGAAATTGAAGCATTGTCAAAATTTTGAAAGGTAACAAATAACAACAATGAATTGAAAAGTGAAAATAATGAAGCCATGTAAAAATGAATCGCAAAGTAAACTAACGAATTGGAAAGATCGAAAAGCAAAATAAAAAACATTGGAAATCTTTCAGATTCAGTTTCAACGTATCGCACTGGGACTAGTGAAATTAGCAAAGCTACTTCAACAAAATTACGTCAACAAAATATATGGTGTTCTTGTAAATCATGTTGTATTACAAAAAGATATTTTATATTCAATGGTTACTACCATAAATCTAGAAAAATTGATAGAAAATGAAAGCTGGTTGGTGAGATTATTAGACAAGCTGTTAATATATGTATATCTTTTCAAAATCGAAGATGCAAGAGCCTGTTTCTCATCGAAAAATAAAGCAAGTATCAATACCTTTATGATGTATGCAGCTTGGGATGAAAACGAGCTTGGAGATTTATATGTTGAAATTTGAAAGTAATATTTCCGTCGCAAATTACGATGCTAAAAAATCGTCGAATAAATAGCCTTTTACTTTCCTTTTTTATTATCTGTTATCAAATTAAACGGTGAATACTAAATATAAACGAAGTGATCTTTCAAAGTTATAATACAAATTATTGTAATAAACAAACGAAAATTTGCTTTTAATGTTTATACATTTGATTATTTAGATTTATTTAAAGCGTCATAATATTTACAAATTGACTTGAAAAAAAAAAGTCAAATGTCTCACAACAACACTGTCTAATATTATTGGAAGCCATTGTGATAATAATAACAACAAGATATTGAATTCACAGACACTTAAGAGACAAGGACATTGGTGAAGATGAAAACATTAATATGCAAGGAAAAAAATCACGGATAATATCGAGTCAGAAATGTTTTGCGAAGCACTGAATAAATACACGGGAAACCGATCAAGTATTATTGCCGATTGTTGATTCCGAGATGTAATTATCTATGAAAAATTAGTCCTCCCAATGTTGGCTATTTTAATTGTAACTTCTTCGTCATCAATGAAGTATTTTTAGTAAACAATTATTTATCATTCTATAGTAATGTATAGTACGATATTCTTATGATGTATATTGTATTAGCAACACAAAATGCAGTTAATATTAATATTGATTTCTTTAAACACGAGTGGTATGATGGATATACCACAATAGAGGATATCAAAATTTTGTCAAAGGTTATTTATTTTTTTGTACCAAATAAATAAATATTACACAAGTGATCTATGTAAAAAAAAATTATTCTATTGCTAAAAATATAATAATATTGACTATTAATATAACGGATTATTGATTTAAATCTTCTAATATATAAGTATGCATGTAAACATAAGATATAATAAGTTATAATGATTCCAAGAAAATATCAAATTTTGCAACTGAATCAAAGAAATTAAAATTTAATAATCCTTTTTCTTTATATTGAGTCAACAATTCGATCATTTTAACTTCATTGTCAATATCATCATCAATCATTTCCTCACAACCATTAAAAAGTTCAATATGAATTGGTGTATAGCCAGTCCATTTTTTGAAAAACATCTCTAAAACATCATCTAAAAGTAACCATTTTTGTCTAAATGATAATATTTTTATTTGTTGTGGCAAGGTGGTTGTCAGAGCACCAAATAAATCTTCAAAAGTTGGTTGAATATCAATCTTTTTCACAGATAGACCTTTTAGTTTTGTACAAGTGTTAAAAACTTTACATAAATCTTTTATCACATAACTATCATAAATTAATGACAAGTATTCCAAGTTTGGACAATTTTGCGCAATTGATCCAATAAATTCCTCCAAAAATTCTGGATCATTTAGATACCCATCAAACTGAATAACTTTAAGATTCTTGCCATTCAATTGGAAAAATTTACTCAAAGTATATACACAATCTTGTCCTTCAATACTAACATTAATTTTCTCTAGTAGATTAAGTTTCAAATTCTCAACAAAAATATCATCAAAATCATTAACAAGACTACATCTTTGCATATTTAAAGATTTAAGACTCTTAAAGTCTGACAATGAATAATCCAGATCACAACATCCAATACTGATATATTCCACTAAATTATTTGCATGAAGTAACAATGCCTCTTTGATTAATTTAGGTACAGAATCATTGGATGTGAAACATGATAATTTCTTTATGTGTTTCTGTGCTTTAATTAAATCAACCAAACCCATATTTGATTTATAATTATAAAATTCCAAACCAAGTATTTCTATTCGATCAGTAGTTTGTGCCAATAAATGAAACAATCCTGAACTAATATTATCATCACAAGCCAATTCTTTAAGATTTGAGAAACACTGGTTAAATTTGGGTTGTTCAAGCAACAAAAAGTTTTCCAAACAATGCAAGTAAATTCTTTCTATTCTGGAATTTGTCATAATCAATTTTATTAATTCTTTAAGTAACAAATACCACTTTTCTTTCTTCACCACCTCAATCTCTTCATCAATCAAATTTAAACTGTTATCATATGATGTATCATCCATTTGTAGTTCATTAGCAAATTTTGAATAATTGCATAGCAATGGTTTGTCATCATCCAATACTTCAAATGATAGTTCAATATTATTTTTCACAAAAAAATCTTTTGACTCCTTTGATAAACACCTGATCATTGTTTTCACACTATTTTTTGAATGGAATGGATCTTTCCATAGTATTGGTGCAGTAATGTAAAACCAATCTCTGCTCACAAAGATACACAAATAAAGTGTCTCATAATTATATTCTAAATATTCAAATATATGATATATACAATCAGATGGTAATTTTTCAAAAATCATTTTTTTTCTAAATTAAAAAGTTTAAAAAGATTAAATAGAGCCTTACATTAATAACATGTTCACAATCAAATAGTATTAAGGGTAATCATTCTGCAGAAATGTTACACATATGGGGCTGCAACAAAACCCAGATAAAGTGAATATTTGTATTACCAAAGATTTCAGGGATCAAAATTTAGTAATGTGAATTGATTATTAAAATCACCCATTTTGTTGTCTTCTTAATATTAAGTGATATATATATACATGGGGTGGTAATTATTTTGCCAAAAACGTAATACGTAATTACGAAATTAATTACGAAATTAATTACGGGTGACAAAATCAATTACGCGCGAATAAATTAAATGACACCTATTATTTATCTCGTTATACTAATATAATGACATAATTTGTCAACTTTTTTTAGAATTACAGAATTTATTCTTTTATAACGAACGTCAGTATAATGGGAGAACCAATCAAAATCATTCTCATTTCTGAAAAAAACATAAGGAAATAAAACTTACGCCGGGATCAAGATTTACCGGCGTAAGTTTTAAATTTCCTGATAAAACATGTAATAAAAATAAAATTACAAAATCACATGATGCTTTCTTTTTCCAATGTTTATTCTTTTTCTTTCTTCATGGTAAATCTCATAGGTAATCTTTTCTTTTCTTAGATAAGCTTCAAGTGTTTGAGTATCATTTATTTTAAAAATATAAGGAGCAATTTTTTCACCTTGTTCCTTTTTCAAAATACTTCGGATAGTACTATAATTCTTGGTAAATGAATTTCATATTAACTATTCTTATCTAGAGATAATCCTATATATATCTATACATGATGATACATTATTACCTAATAAAAAGCAAAAATCTTTAAAAGGAAAATAAATACCATTTTCTTTGATAGTTGGAATTATACAGAGGGAAATAACCAAAAATTATTTTCTTATTTTCAATCAAGGTCATTTTTTAGTTTCTTTAATCTCAATTTGAGCTGTTAATTGACCATTTTGCTGTTGTAGTTGTGCTAATTGAGATTTTAAATCACTGATTTCTTTTTCATAAGCAGTCACTTTATCAACTAGTTCTTGTGGAGTTAATTTTTTCAGCCTTTCTACTTCGATTTCTAACTCTTTTATTCTATCCAAGAGTTCTTGCTTTTGTCTTTTACTCCATCCTTCAGATTTTTCTTGGAACTTGATTACTTCTTCCCTCTCAATTTCCAATGCTTCTTCAGTAGTGGTTAACTCTTCATGTAAAGAATTTATTTGTCTCTCATAAAAAGCAGACAGACTTATTTCTTCATCAGGTAAGAAGGGAAGTTCCTTCTCTTCCAAGTCTTCATTGTTTCTAACACAGTAGCAAACATTCTTACCAGTAACAATATCAAAATCTAATTTAGTTTGTAATCTACCACATCTATTACATTTTAATAATTCATCATTTCAATACTTTTCTTCACACTTTTCACAAACTACATCATCTGAAATTCACTTCCCAGTTATTTTACTACAGACTCTTATTTGATGAATAGATTCATTATTTCTGTTTTCAAGTTTAGAGCAAAAATTGCAAGTTTTTTTACTTTCTTTCTCCAACTTCAAAACTGTGTATTCCAGTTCTCTCATTGCAATCTACCGTTACTTAGACTTTACCTCTACTTGAGCAATCATTTCTTGGTTGTGAAAAATATCCCTTTTGATTAGCTTTTGTAATTTTTGAATCTTAACTTTTGCTTTTGTTTTAACTGCCTAAACATACTCTGTTTAACTGAAGCCTTGTTTTCCTCTTCTATAGGTAAAGCAGGTAAAGGTTTACTGTTGTAAACTCTTTAAACTTTCATTTATCAGATAATTGCTTGCTTAGTTTTTCTATTTTTTTACTCTTTTGACTTGACTCTTCCTCTCACTTTTCAACTCGGGCTTCTAAATAAGAAATCTTTTCACTAGCACTTTTGAGTTTTTGGTTTTTTACTTTTATATCTTCTGCTTGAGTTTTGCTTCATTTTTCACCAGTTTCTACAACATGCTTAACTTGTTCCTGTTCTGTTTTCACTCTTTCTTCTAATTCTTCCACCTCTTCTTCCAAGTCTTTTTGTTTGGCTTCTAATTCTTGATTAGTTTTCTTTAACTCAACATTTTCTTTTTCTAAAATAACATTCTTTTCTTCAAGTTTTTTATTTTGCTTACTAACAAAACTATAAGAATCACAATTGAGTGCCCTATAAAAAATTGCACACGGAAAAGGTGCGGAAAAGATGCGGGAAAAGTGAGTTTAATTTCATTATAAAAAAG